AAATAGGAGGCAGAGCTGGGATTAAAATTCAGGTGTGTCTAGCTCAGAACTCAACCTCTTCATCAACGCTGTGACTCAGGGAGCAGCCAAGTGGAGAGGGACCTCAGAAACTATACAGCTCAACCCTCTCCCCACTTTATAACTGGGGAAACTGACTTGCCCAAGGTCAGACCAGAGCTCAGATCTCCCAATTCTTAGCAGTATCATTTACCTTCCTGACCTTGAGCTCTGCTTGGACGCTGACTCTGAGCTTTGCTTGAATGCTTGGGGCAGCTGTGGAGAATCTGGAGGTGGTTTCAGTCTTGGACTCATGGATTCGTTCAATAATGTATCTAGTCGACACTCCTGCTGTGGCTACTGAGGGCTAGGCCCTGTGCTGGACCCAGGAGAGAGCCAAACTAGACCTGGCCTCCGTCTAGTAGACTGCTAGGTTGTGACCAGGTTGCTCTGGTTGTAACTGAGAGTTGCCCCAGGCCTTCCTGGAGCTCACAGTTGAGCTGAGTCCTGACGGATAAGCCAAGTACTTAGGGCCAGGGAGTGGAAGGAGAAGGCATTACAAGCAAAGAGAACAAAAACATCTACAACCAGCATTTCCTAGGTGCATACTGTGCCAGGGTCCAGGCTATATGTTTTGGCAGGCTCTCTCTCTTATTAATCCTCACAGCTACCCTATGAGGTGGATCTCATTACCCCATTTTACAGATGAGGAAACTGAGGATCAGAAACTATGCCGAAGGCCATACAGCCATTAAGTGTCGCTGAAGCTGGAACTTGGACTCAGGTTATCTGAGTCTGACCAAGGACAGGCATAGAGGGGAGCACCTGTTTAAGTGGTACACTGTGGCTGGAGGGGAAGGTGAGAGTGTGGAGGCGAGAATAGGAAACTGAGGCTGGACCAGCTCATGAAGGGTCTTGAATGGACCCCCCTTCCCCACAAGGAGCTTGAACTTGATCCTGAAGATGCTGGGGAACAGAGGAGCGTGATGTGGTCAGATCTGCAGCAAAGTGCACTGTGGAGCAGGGTGGAAGCTGGACAAGAGGGGAGAGGCTAGAGACAGGAGGGGCAGCTAGAGGTATTGTCAGAGATTGGGAGGCTCCAAAATGGACAGGGAGGGTTGGGGTTCAAAGATATGGAAGAATTCAGGTCTATCATGAGGGGCAGGGGCATCTGGGGCTTTGGGAGTATAAGAGGATTGGGAAAGGGAAAAAAGAGAGGCAAGTTCAGTGGTGATGTTAAGATTGCTGGCATCCTTGGGTCAGAGAGGGAAAGAGAAAGCAGTGGGGGGAAACAGAGAAGGGAAGAGCCTTGAGCGTCTACTGTGTGCCAAGCACGATGCTGGGCCTTTCACAGATGTCATCCCTGTTAGTCCTCATCACATCCCATGATGTAGCCCTTAGCCCCGTATTATAGATGAATTTTGAGAGATGGGCCTCAATGTCACACAGCCAGGATTCAAACCCAGGTTTTTCTGACTCCAGAGCTCATGCCGTGTCCCCTGGACACCACTGCTTGGTGAAGGGGGTAGGGTGTAGAAGGGTCCCTGAAACCAGAGAAAGTTTCTGGCAGCAGCTTTATTTCTGGGTTGGGGAGAGGCGTGGCCAGGCAGGAGGGGCTTGGGGGAGAATCAGAGCGCTGTCTGTCTGTCCTCCCCCTGTTGCTGACCCCATCCTGGCCTCTCCAAACCAATGCAAGCCCCAGAGCCTCTCAGCTGGCATATTTGCATAATTGTGTGTGCAGATCTGCACCAGCCCAGACCCCACCCACTCTGGGGAGGGAGAGTCAGAGAGCTGTGGCTCTGCCCTTGAGATGTGTTGCTCCCCAGGCCCCTCTGCCAGCCCTGCCCCTAGCTCTGATGAGGCCCTGCAGAGTCTAACTCCCCAAGGCTGACGTTCAAGGCCGCCTCCACCTCCCACCCCTGCCCCAGTTAGCCCCAACTGGCCTTTCTGGCTTGTGACTCAGCCCACCTATTCCAACCATCCCCTACTGAAACCCACTTCCTGCACACGCCAGGTGTGCCCCTCCCCAACAAGTTCTCTTGGCCTAGAATGCCCTGGCTCCATCCTGGGGACTTGAAGGAACCCTGTCCATTTGTCTTCCTTGAGCCTCCCATCAGAAATAAACTCTCTCCTTGAAGCTCCCCCAGTTCAGAGTCCCTATTGCATATATAATTATAATTACTATTTGATGATAACAACAACTTGTATTGACTGAGCACACCCTGCGTATCATGCCAGGTCATGAATTAAGCCACTTATCCTCACAACAAGTCGATGAAGTAGGTGCTATTATTAACCCCACTTTACAGATTTGGAAACTGAGGTGGAGGGAGATTGTCACTAACAGCCAGGTGGTGGCAGCTGGATTTGATCCTAGGAAGTCCCTCCATGTTTATCTTGTTCCCCCTTATAGTCTACCTATTCATGTTTCTGCCTCTGACTACCTGTGAACTCCCCCAGGACAAGGATTGTGTCTTCAGCCCTCCTAGCGGCCAGTGCAAAGCCTGACCACTTGGTCTAAGTGCTCATAGGCAAGCTGCCTAGCCTCTCGAAGCCTCAGTTTCTCCCTTTATGAGATGGGGTAATGATGGCGCTAATCTCTTGGAGTTGTGAGAATTGGATGACATACTGCACCTGTGAAACTCAAACCCAAACCATGCCCAGCTCCGGCTTCTCTGGTCCCGAGCTTCCTTGGCCTTCCTTGGAGTTACGCCATCACTCAGGGGTTTATCAACAGGTTCCTGTCTTCTGTCTGACCTCTCTCTGCAGGGAGCAAGTTTTCCAGTTTGTTCTCTTCTGTCAAGCTGTGTGGCAGTGGCCCAGCCAGTCCTTTTCTTGGACCTCTGTTTCCTGTTCTGGAAATCTAGGGGATTGGGCCAGATGATCCCTGGGGTCCCTTCCTGCTCTGTCCATCTGAGGAGCGAAGAGGGGCCTGGACACAATAAAGGTGGGGACATGGAAAAGTAACTAAGAAGCCTCATATGGGACATGGTGACCACTCCATCTCTGGAGCACCCAGTGTATGCCAGGCTTTCTGTTCTACGAGGCTAAGTACTCCTGGGAAGTATTATTATCCTCATTTTGCAGATGAGGCACAGAGAGGTTAGGTGGCATGCCCAAGGTCACACAGCTAGTGGGTGGCAGAGCCAGCCTCCTAACCCAACTCTGTCTGATCCCAGGCCTGGTAGGAGTCCCTTGGGGGGACACAGCTCAGGCTGCCTCCTACGTCCTGCTGTTTGGGTTCTGGGTTTGGTTTTCCTAAGCTAGATGTTCCCTCAAGGGTCTGTACTCAGCCCACCTGGAGAGAGCTGCCTGCCTGGGGCCCTCTCTACCCTCCCACCCTTCCACAGGTGAGCTCTGACCACAGCCCAGCTTCTTCCCGGGGCAGGTTCATTCTGCAAACCCTTACCAAGGCTGCTCTGTGCCTGGCCCTGTCCTAGGTATTCACAGCCCAGGCTGACTGCGGAACCCAGGCCCTGGCCAGAGCTAAACATTTCCATGGAAACCAATTTAAAAGGCAAACTTCCTTGAACCCCATCTCAGTGCCAGCCTGTTCCTGAGTATGGGGGATATGGAGAGGGGACATTAAGGGCCCACCCTGGAGGACTCATGGGCTAGTATGGGGATGGAGGAAGGACAGATGGAAGAAAAGCTAACCATGATACAATGGGCTAGAAGCCTGATACATACAGATGTCTGGACCCTGTGCTGGGGAGCACCCAACTCCACACCCGATTCTTTCATTTGACAAATAAATTTATTGAGGACCTACTGTGTGCTGGGCACTGTTCTAGGCACTGGGAATAGAGCAGTGGACAAGGCAGATAAGATTCCTGCCCTCATAAAATTCACATTCTAGTGGGGGAGACGAGCAGTACACACAAGAAGTCAAATAAGTGAGCAAGGTCATTTCAGACAGTGGAAGGTGCTATGAAGACTGTGAAATAGTCCTCAGGCAAGACCTGTTTGAGGAGGTGGCATCTGAATGGAAACTTTGTTGATACAAAGGATTCACCAGAACATCTGAGAGTGGAGTGCACCAGGCAGAGGGAACAGCAAGTGCAAAGTCCTAAAGCTGAAACAAGCTCAAGATAATGGAGGAACAGGAAGAAGGCCTCTTTGGGTGAATGGGAGCTACGGGGGAGGGGAAGGATGATGGAGGCGTTGAAACTGGGGTGAGGTGAGTGAGGCACTTGCTTTCAGGTGCAGGATTTAAGCAGGCACCAAAGAACTCAGTAATCCAGATAAATAACATTTAATGTGGTATTTTTTAAAATCAAAATGAATGCAAAAAAAATCCAAGATGAAGCAAATATCAAATTTTTAAATAAAGACAAGATGAGTAACAGTGCTGTACTGAGCCATATTGGAACCTGAGGCAAAAGGAAAAATCGGTAATACTGATTCTGTCCTTATTTAAATTTTTAATATTCTGTTTATTGTGGATTTTTGTTGTTGCTGCTTATCATAGGTGTCATCATTGTAGAAAACTTGTCGCCTGGTGTTAAGATCATGGTCTCCGGAAGCAGACTGCCTGGGCTCCAATTCTGGCTTCACCCTTACATTCTTAGCTGTATGCTTTTGGACTGGTTTCTTAGCCTCTCTGTACCTGTTTCTCCATCAGAAAATAGGGCTAATAATACTGCCTCGGGGTTATTGAGAGGACTGAATGAATTAATGCAAGCAGAGGGCTGAGAACAGTGCCTAGAGAGAGAAAAATAGCAGTTAGTTGCAGCAATGAACGGCGGTACAGCCTTGGTTCCAACAGAGGATTCTAAGCGGGGAGCCACGGGGTCGGCTCAGGGTGGCCAGCATGTAGAGGTGGATTGGGAGAGGGAGACAGAGCTCCTAGGATATCCTGAGAGGCGGATGTTGCAAAATTCCAGACGAAAGATGGAAAGATGGGGACGGACTCTGGAGATGTTTTAGGAAGCCGATGCCCCAGTTCGCTGCCTGGGCCAGGTTTGGCCCGCGCCCCCATTCCGGCCTCGTGTGTGTTCCAGAGGGAGCTGAAGGAGCAGCTCCAGGCCCTTCAGGACAGCGAGCGGGAACACACGGAGGCGCTGCAGCTGCTCAAGCGCCAGGTGGCAGAGACCAAGGTGAGACTGGCTTGGACGTGCGGACCGACCGAGGCCCGCTGAAGTGGGGACGAGCCTCGGGCTTGCGTGGGGGCGGAGCTTCGCTGACCTAACCTGGCGCGGAGGGGCGGGACGTGTGGGGGCGGGGCCTAGGGTGGGGCCCAGCTTGAGGCGCCTGAGGGCAAGGATTTGGGACTGGTGCCTGGGTTAAAGTTGGGGCCCTCCAAGGCCAAGGTAAGGGGGGGTCCTTTCTCCCTTCCCGCTTTGGGTGGAAGTTGGCGTTGGCACCAGGGACCCCTGTACAACTGGGAGTATATACCCAGTCTTTTTTTCCACCCCCCTCGTTAAACACGCCCGTTGCCCTAGGAGCCATCCCTGGACATGTCCCCTCGCAGCTCATCTCTCAAGCCCTCCTCATGGCTTGTGGCCTCGTCCTGGTACCATCTCCCTTCTTTACCTCAGGACATGGGGATATGTTGTCGTTGTTAGGTGTCATCGAGTCAGTTTCGACTCATAGGGACCCTGTGTGCAACTGAACACTATCGGGTCCTGCACCATCCTCACAATCGTTGCTATGCTTGAGCTCATTGTTGCAGCCACTATGTCAATCCATCTCACTGAGGGTCTTCCTCTTTTTCAGTGACCCTCTACCAAGCATGATGTCCTTCTCCAGGGACCAATCCCTCCTGATAACATGTCCAAAATATGTGAGACGAAGTCTCGCCATTCTCGCTTTTAAGGAGCATTCTGATTGTGCCTCTTCCAAGACAGATTTGTTTGTTCTTTTGGCAGTTCATGGTATATTCAATATTCTTTGCCAACACCATAATTCAAAGGTGTCAATTCTTCTTCAGTCTTCTCGTTCGTTATCCAGCTTTCCCATGCATGTGAGACGATTGAAGACACCATGGCTTGGGTCAGGCACACCTTAGTCTTTAAAATGACATCTTTGCTTTTGAACACTTTAAAGAGGTCTTTTGCAGCAGATTTGTCCAATGCAATGTGTCATTTCATTCCTTGACTGCTGCTTCCATAGGCGTTGATTGTGGATCCAAGTAAAATGAAACCCTTGACAGCTTCACTCTTTTCTCCGTTTATCATAAGGTTGCTTATTGGTCTACTTGGGGATATGGACTCTGAAAAGATAGGGCCAAACCCTGCAGTCTCTACTACAAAAACCCAAAGCCAATCCCATTGCCATCAAGTCAATTCCAACTCATAGCAACCCTATATGGCAGAGTAGATCTGCCCCATAGGGTTTCCTAGGCTATAATCTTTACAGAAGCAGACTACCACATCTTTCTCCTGCGAATGGCTGGTGGGTTTGAACCACCAGCCTTTTGGTTAGCAGCTGAGCCCTTAACCACTGCACCACCAGGGCTCCTTTTGTCTCTACTACAGTGGTTTGAAAATAAAAGCCTTTTTCCTTGACCTGAGAGGAAGGGCGTGAGTTCTGATCCAGCCACTAACTAATTTTGTGACTTTGTAAATGGCATACTTTTCTGGGCCCCCAGTCTTCCTATCTGTGCAGTGGGTACTCTCCTCAGCTCCCTTCAGTCCTGAAGTTTTGAATCCTAGCACACTACTAAGGGGCCCCCTCTGAGTTTCCCCCGCAGATATCTCACTAACTTGCTTTGATTTCTTCCCCATCTTTCTGGGACCAAGAACTGGGAACCAGGGCCCAGCTGCCAAGCCGTGAGGCGATTTCAGTGTGGCTCCACTCTGTTAGCAGAGGTGTGATGCCAGCAGCAGCCAGAACAGAACCTTAGGAATGCGCTGGGCCTCCGGAGGTCACCCTGGGGCCTGGAGAGGCCATCAGTGACCCAGATCTTTGCCCCAACTTGGCCACTGACCCGCTGTGGGGTCTCAGGAAGGTCAGGACAAATATTCCTTCAGAGAACATTCCTGAGTGCCTCTGGGCAGGACTCTTGTTGGGCAACAGATGAGAAACACTCCCAGGACCCTGGTTCAGTTGCTTCCCAAAGCCTCAGTTTCCCCATCTGTCTGGTGATTACACACCTCTCAGGTGAAGACGAGCAAATGGAAGCCCCTGTCTGGGTAAGAGGAAAATATTATGGTCTGTTTCTTCTCAGCATTCTCTTCTCTCCATCCACCCCGCCCATTGTTTTTCTCCACTGACCTCTTCCTCCCCCGCTTTCCTGTCCATCTGTCTGCCTCTGGGGGGTCCTGTGGGGCCACCTCCCCCTCCAGTTCCCCCAGCCCTGCTTCCTGTCTGGACTGGGGTGTTTATACAAGAAATGCCTATGGATGCTTTGGAGGTCATATTTCACCTGGTGCCTGACCTGGCTTTCCTGCGGCGCCTGCCCCTCCAGTGGCCCAGCCTTGGGGCCTGTCTGATCTCCCTCCTCAGGCCCTGTGTTTTCCTTGGTCGGCCCTGGTGGGGTGATGCATTCTTAGCAGAGTGCTTTTCTGAAGCGGCCCCAGCTCCTCCTGTTTCCAGGGGTGTGGCAAGCTGGGCTGGGGGCTGCTTTCCCAACCATGGCACTGAGGGTCGGAGGCGGGGTGGGGGTGGCTCTGCCCTAGAAAGAACAAAAGTAAATGGCACACACCAACTGAGCTGGACTTTCCTCTCTTCTGGGAATCGTTTCCTATATATCGTCTCACAGAAACCCACAGAATGTCACCTCGACAACAGCAGGACTCCCCAGAACCTAGCACAGTGCCTGGCGCACAATAGTTATTGGAATAAATGAGTGAAAACAAATCACCTTTAGGGGTAGGAAATGTTATCCTTACTTTACTGGTGGCACAGAGAGGTTGAGGGACTGGCCTGAGGCCCCAAAGCCAGCAAGTGACAAATTGGAAGCATACTGTCCAGGTCTGTCAAAGCCAGTCTGTCAAATTCCAGCCTCACGCTAGGCTGTCCCCCTGGGATGCCCTCAGCAAGATCTATGGCTTTGTGGTGAGCCAGCCAGGTAGGTTGGGAGGACCCATCTGGGACATGCTTGGGGTTCCCGGGATGGCTGTCACTCTGACGTCGCACGTCTGAGCTGCCCTCTCCCTGTCTCTCCCTCTTTCTCTACCCACCCTCCCTTGTCCTGAGGACACTGGGCCCCTGACCTAGGAAGAAGATAGAGCCCATGCCTGTGTCTACAAAGCAGTCTTGAGCAAGAGTCTTCCTTCCTTTGCTCCTTCCCTCCTGCCGCACTCAAGCAGTTCCTCACTGCCAGATTTGTGCCAGGCCCTGTAATGGCCATGGCGGGCAGGGGCTAAGAAAGACATCATTCCCACCCAAGAGGCACTCCTAAAATGTGGGGCAGCATATTAAGAGCGTTTGCCAAATGCTCTGGGAGCATCCAACTGCCTGAACAAGTTAGAGTAGGAATCACAAAGGAGGTAGCTTTCGATCTGGGTCTTGCAGGATGAGTAGGAGTTTGCCAGTTGAATAAAGGGTTTGGGGGTCATTCTAGGCAGATGGAATTGCAATGCTGGGGTCAGATTGAGAACGGCTTTGAATGCCAGGCTAAAGAATTCAGCATTTTACTAGTCATCAAGGAGCCAAGAAAGGTTGTCAAACAGCCATCAGCTGTGACCTTGTTTGCACCAGAAGGATACTCTCGTGGCAAGTTTGTTGGCAAAGACATGGAGTTAACTTCTGGATCAAGTAAGTTGGAGAGACCTCACAGCCTCAGTTTCCCCACTTGGGATTCTGGTGGTGCAGTGGTTAAGCACTTGATTGCTGACCAAAAGGTCGGCCGTTCTAATCTGCCAGCTGCTCCATGGGAGAAAGAAATGGCAGTCTGCTTCCACAAAGATTATAGCCTTGGAAACCCTATGGAGCAATTCTCCTCTGTGCTATAGGGTCGCTGTGAGTCAGAATCAACTCAACAGCAATGGATCTGGTTTTGTTTGTTTTTTTTAATGGCCTGTTTCTTCTCCCCAGCATTCTCTTCTTCTTCCACCCCCATTGTTTTTCTCCACTGACCTCTTCCTCCCCAGCTAGTCCATGAGTCCATCCTGGGTGGGAATGTCTACCTCAGCCCTGTATCCCATAAGACCCCATGGAACCCCATGGAACCCCAGGGGGATGTGTTGAGAAGGCAGTTGGAAAGATGAGTGTGGTGCTCAGGAGACATGCAGGGCTATTGAAGTGGACTTTGGTGTCTACCTTAAAGCAGTGGGTGTTGAAGATAAGGGCAGATGTGTAGGGGAGAATGGGAGGGGCAGGCCCGGCAGGCCCCGAGGAACATGGAAGGCAGAGAGAGGCAGCCACAGAGGTGGGAGGTGAACCAGAACTTTCTGTTAGTAGAGGGTGGCCGGTTGGCCAAACACTGCTACAGAGTCAATGAAGCAGAACCAGAGGGGGAGACCATGGGATTTGGGGGCCTTTGGTGGGAAGCTCCAGATAGTGCAGGAGGGCAGGCTCCATTTCCTCATCAGCAAGGGCCACCACAGGAGTCTCAGCCCCCCTGGGTGAGGGGGCTCAGGGAGGCCCCAGGCAGCCTGGCCGTGCATCCCAGCCTCTCCTCCGCCCCTTCTTTGTCTGCCTGGTGCTCTGGGTGGGCATGCGCAGGAAGGCTGGCCCGCTGCCAACACTTCTTCCTGCAGGCCGGCATTGTGGCGGGGAGGGAACAGGCCCTAATTGAGCCTTTGTTGAGCCTCCCACAGAGCCCTGGGCACTGAACACAGCGGGGTCTCTGACTCCATGAACTCCCAGCCAGAATCCCACAAAGTGAAATTGCAGAGGCAGGCCCCACACATAGCTGCAGCCGTCGTTCTGACTCTAAGCCTTTACATGTGCTGTTCCTCTACCTGTTCTCCTAGCACCAGCTGACATCCTGCGCATCCTTCAGGCCCCAGCTCAGAAGCCACTTCTCAGTGAAGACTTCTGGGACATGCCGGTTAGAATGGATCCCTTTTTAATAACCAAGCACTTCTCTGCAACTCGAAAAGTGCTACACGTTTTATGAACATTCCCTCATTTAATCTTCTCCATAACCCTGCAATATAGCTTTTGTTACCCGTTTTACAGAGAAGATAACTGAGGCTTAGAGATCTTAGGCATCTAAGGTTGCCACAGCTAGAGACCCAGAGCCAGGATTCTTTTCCAGGCTATCACCACTCTATCCCCTTCTGGGCCTGGCACTGCTCACGGGGGCAAAAAGAACCCCATAAGGCCATGCTTACCTTCTCTGAAAATGGCCCTAACCTCCAGCTCTCGGTCCCTAGCCGGAGGGTCTCAGGGGTAATGGGACAGCACAAGTGTCTTCCAAGGTTGTCTGGCAGCTTATAAAGCTCTTTGACAGTGGTAATCCCCCTGTCATCTTTCGTTGAGCCCCATGGGTGAATTTTTTAAAAACAAAAACCTCATTGTACCGCAGACTGAACTCAGCATCTTCTCCCTGTCCCCAACTCCCCATGCCAGCTTCCCCATCCCTCCCACCCCAAGCCAGAAATCTGAGCATCATCCTTGACACCCTTCTGTCCTGCACCCCTACAGCCAGCCAGTCACCAGGCCCCAAGAGTCTCCCTCCTAAAGCATCTTTCAAACTGTTTCCCTTTCTCCACTAGTCCTCTTGTTCAGCCTCATTGTTTCACGTAGATCCTCTTATTGGTTTCCTCATGGGCCACTTAGAACTATTTGCTGTCCCTGGCCACGCCATGTCCTTTCATATTGCCGTGTTTTTGCATGCACCATCCTCTCCACCGAGCACACCCTTGCCCACTGTCTCCTCTCCTCCTATCAGGGTCGGTTTCCTCTTCTCACCCAGGGCTTCCCCTTCCCACTCCCCCTGCCCTAACCCCTGATGACTGTTCCCCACAGTCTTCCACCAAGAGCCTGCGGACCACCATCGGTGAGGCCTTCGAGCGGCTGCATCGGCTGCTGCGTGAGCGGCAGAAGGCCATGCTGGAGGAGCTGGAGGCAGACACGGCCCGCACGCTCACCGACATTGAGCAGAAAGCCCAGCGCTACAGCCAGCAGCTGCGCAAAGTGCAGGAGGGAGAGCAGATCCTGCAGGAGCGGCTGGCCGAAACTGACCGGCATGCCTTCCTAGCCGGGGTGGCTTCGGTGTCTGAGCGGTAAGTGCCCACCTGCCGGGGCCTGCCCCAGCAGGCGTCCCCTCCCCCAGCCATGCAGGTTAGTGGGAGTGGAGGCAGACTGGGGGTTAGCAGAGACTTCGTTCATTCAAACCTTCACCAGACAGTTATGGGGTACCTGCTGTGTGCCAGAGCCTGAGCTGAAGACTTTCTGTATTTACATTATTATATATATATTATGTATGTTTTTTATATATATTATATATATTTGTATTCGTATTATATTATTTATGTTATACACCCTCTCCTCACTTATAATCAACATGGTTAGGTTCCAAAGACCAGGTCATTATGCAAAATCATTGTTATGCAAAAATGGAGGACAACCACATCAGATCACAAAATGGAGGATGACTGCATTATTACATAACTGCCAAATTACATCATTACATAACTGCCAAAGCACTTGAGAATCATGGCCCAGCTAAGCTGACACATAACCTTAACCGTCACAGCCAGCGTTACTCTTTCCTCGTACCTCGGCATTTGTTGCCAAACATATGTTGTTAACATGCAAAATATTTGGATAGTAGATTTTTTACTATTGTCGTAAATGCGAAACGTTGGATAAGGAGATAGTCGATAGGTGAGGAGAAGGTGTAACTATATCATGCTATTTATATTATGCAACTATTTTATATTAAATATATTACTTATGCTATATATATTATATTATAATAATATTTAAATTATATGTAATAAATAATAATATTTTTATTATTATATGAATGCTTTGTATTACTATAGCCCTTCCAGCCCCCTGCGTGGTGCAAATGGTTAACACATTCAGCAATAAGTATGGAGGCAGCAATCCAGCCCCCAATGCAGCCTGCTCTCCTTCTTTCATTCCAGGCTCAAGGGGAAGATCCACGAGACCAACCTGACATACGAAGACTTTCCAACCTCCAAGTACACGGGTCCCCTGCAGTATACCATCTGGAAGTCCCTGTTCCAAGACATCCACCCAGGTAAGGCCCTGCCTGCCACTCCCTGAGAGGGCCCAGGAAGAGGTGAGGATTGCCATGGGCTGGAGCCAGGTGGGACATGTCCCAACCTGTCTCAGCCCATAGCACAGGGGCAAGGCAGAGGGGTGAGAACAGCCCTTTGCTGAGTACCCTCTGTGTTCTGGGACCTGTGCTGGGCACCTACATGATCACTCAGCTCAATGAACCCTCATAAAAACCTCATGAGGTCAGTTCCATTAGTATGCCCATTCTCCAGATGAAGAGACTGAGGCCCCGACTGGTTCATTCATTCATCCTATACATACAGTATATGTCAAGCACCTGCCTTATGCCAGGCACTGTTCTAAGTGCTGGAGATATAGCAGTGAGCAAAATAGGTGAAAATCTCTGCCCTCATGGATCTTACATCCTAGGGAATAGCAGAGATGTAGTTTACTAGATAATGATAAAGGCTAAGGAGGGAGGTTAGGGAATGCTGAGGTAGGATACAGAAAGATAGAGGGTCCTATTAGAAGACCTCACCAAGACTGAAGGAAGAAGGAGAGTGAGCCATGTGGGTATCTGAGGGAAGACTGTTCCTGGCAGTGGGAACACCAAGTGCAAAGGCCCTGAGGCAGGAGCGTGCCTGACATGTTCAAGGAACAGTAAGAAGACCAGTGCAGCTGGAGTGGAGTGAGTGAAGGAGAGAGGGAGGTGAGGAGGTCAGGAAGGTAGCCCTCCCACCCTTAATACTAATAATAATAATTTAGAGAGGGAGGCCATGACAGCCTGTAAGGCCAGTCTGAGAACTTTGACTTTTACGCCGAGTGAGATGGGAGCTATTGGAAGATTGGGGGCAGTGGAGCTGACTTAAGGTTTTAAAGGATCCCTCTGGCTGCTGGGTTGAAAATAGACTGAAGGAGGACAAGGGTGGAGGCTGGGAAACCAGTTCGGAGACTACTGCTATAATCCAGGTGAGAGATGATGGTGGCTCTGACCAGGGTGGGGGCAGTGGAGGCGGTGAGAAGTGGTTGGATTTTGTATATATTTTGAAGATAGAGCCAATTAAGATTTGCTAATGGATTGGATCTCAGGTGTGAGAGAAAGAGAGAAGACAAGGACGACTGCAGTACAAGGTTCTTAGCCTAGGTGCCTGGAAGGATAGAGTTACCATTAACCAGGATGAGAAAGGCTAGAGAGGAGCAGGTTTTGGGGGAGAGGTCAAGAGTTCAGTTTTAAAACCTGTGAAGTTTGTGATGACTATTAAATTTCTAAGTGCTTATGTTGAGAAGGTAGTTCAAATGACAAATCTGGAGTACAGCAGAGAGGTCAGGGCCAGCGTCATTAACAATGAGCCTAGATGAGATCATCTAGGGAGTGAGAGAAGACAGAAAAGAGGAGGGTCACCCTAATATTTGGAGCCCCAGGGCATTTATAGAAGTCAGGGATGGGAGGAGGATCCAGCCAAGAAGACCGAGAAGGAGCAGCCAGAGAGATAGGAGGGAAACCCCGGCATGTCCTGTCAGTCAGAAAAAGTGTTCCCAGGGGTGGCCAATGATGTCAACGGCTGTTAAACCAAGTGCAGGAGAACCGAGAACTGACCATTCTCCAGGTTTAGCAACACGGAGGTCATTGGTGACCTTGACGAGAGCTGTTTTGGTGGAGTGATAGGGGTTAAAACCCTAATTGGAGCCCAGCCAAGAGAGAATGGGAGGAGAGGAAGTGGAGACACCAGGTGGAGACAATGCTTTCAAGGAGTTTTGCTAAAGGGCAAGGGAGAAAATGTGGCAGCAGCTGTTTTTTAAGACTGAAGAAATAACAGCCTATTTGTGGGCTGAGGATGAAGGAGAGAGTTGCTGCAATGAGGGCCTTGACTGCCGCTCCAGGGTGGAATCCGCTGTACAGCTGGAGGACCAACGTCTGCTAGGGGCCCAGAAACTTGGTCTGCTGGCCCCAGGGAGGCAGAGTCAGTGGGCATGGAAGCAGATGGGACAGTGCTGGGCTAGGAGCTGGTGAGAATTCTCTTCTGATTGCTTCACCTTTCCCAGGGAGATGACAATAAAAAATGTCTCCAGATATTGCCAAATGTCCCCTGTGGACAAAAGTGCCCTGGTTGAGAACCACTGCCCCAGAGACAGCTGCCTTCAGGAGAGAGGCTAAGGGAGCAGTAGTGTGTGCCCTGAACAACCTGCCGAAGACAGCAGCCTCTGGGGAGTTCAGAGAACAGCAGCCTGTTTGGCCAGGCCCCTTCCTTTGTCTGTGGGGCCTGGGAAGTCACTCTGGCTCTACTGTCAGCACCAAGGCCCTTTATGTCCAGATGGGAGGGGAAGGTGCCCCCAGGGACCTAGCCCATAGATTCTAGCAGTTTCCTGCCTCCCCCCACCCCCCAACTCAGGCTTCCTACTGGGTCACCTGAGAACCTATCTAGCACCTGTCACTCCCCTGCCCCGCCCTGCCCCTCAGCCTGGCATCAGGAACTTCTCTACCTACCCAGCCTGATTGCCCCAGCTCACAGGCACAAACTTCCTCCCTAGCCAAGCCAGGCAGCCCATTGTCCCAAGGACACCAGACACTGCTCCTCTTGCTCCTGCCACCTCCCTCTCCTGGGCTGCTCTCTCCTGTCCTCCTGCTTACCTGAATCCAATCATTTTGAGTCCTAGCATGTTTACTGCCTAGCTGTGTGACCCAGGGCAAATCACTCACCTCTCTGAGCCTCAGTTTCCTCATCTATAAAACAGGGATAGTTGGCATTTATCTCCCACCATAGATGTGAGAATTAAATAAAATCGTTTATTTGTAAATATTAATCCTGGAACTTAGTAAGTGCTTGATACCTGTTTGTTATTATTATCTTGATGCATCAGATGCTTCCTCAGTCTTGCTGAACAGGCTTTCTGGGGCCACATAATGGAAAGAACATGGTGTGAAAAGACCTCAGCTCAAGTTCCAACTCTGCTTGCACCCCAGTAGCTCCTTGAGCAAGCCACTTAATTCAGAAGAAGTCTTCTTGGAGCCTCAGTTTCCTCTTCTGAAAAATGGGTACAGTAATTTGTGCCCCTGGAGCTGCTATGATGCTCACATGAGTCAGTGGGTATGAAGATGGCTTGGGAATGCCCAAACTGTGCAGCTGAGGGCCTGTGTGGGCGGAAGGCCTGAGGGACCGAATTCTTTAAAGGCCTAGTCAGCAGAAAGAGCTGACAGCATTTCCTGACCTGTCAGGCCTCTCCAGGCTTGAAGCCCAGTCCTTGAGAACAAAGAAGCACAAGACACTCGCTTGGTAGTGGTAATGGTGATGGCAGCTGGGGCTGTGCACCGGGAGCGGGTTCTCTGCTGCTGGAAGACACTTCCTGAGACCTCAGCAGGGTCTGCTCCTTCCCAAATGCCTTTTGACCTCGTGTGTCGCTTCTCTGAGGACAGAGGCTGGGTGTGTCCCTGCACAGACACTGGCTTCTCAGAGGGGAAGGGCACTGCCATTTTGTCTTCTGTGTCTCTCTCTGGTCTGAAGACTTTTACTCCTGCCAACCCTAACCTCTGGAAGGCCAGAGGAGGCCCAGAAGACAGAACCCTCTGTCTGTGGTGGGGAGTCCCTGGAGGTGGACCAGCAGCCAGGGTGTCAGGCCCTGCCCCAGCCTTACCCCTTGGATGTAAAAGCCTTCTGAGAGTCAGGCCATGCCCCCTGTCTAAGAGAGCACCAGGCCCCGCCCCATGGGAGGTGGGGCCTTTTTCACTGGAAATCAGGCCCTGCCTCTAGTCCTGCCCACAATGCCAGCACAGCCCAGTTACACCAGGTCCCGCCCCTAAAAAAAAAACAAAAAACACGTTGCCTTGAGTCAATTCCGACTCATAGTGACCCTAAAGGACAGAGTAGAACTGCTCCATAGGGTTTCTGAGGCAGTAAATCTGTACGGAAGCAGACAGCCACATCTTTCTCCCACAGAGCGGCTGGTAGGTTCAAACCACAGACCTTTTGGTTGGCAGCCAAGCACTTAACCATTGCACCATCAAGGCTCCTTGGCCTGCCCAGTGAGTGGTGGGGTCCTGGCCTCATCCAGTCCCCCATGCTTCTGGCAATGTCATTCCACCCCCAAGGAGCTGGCGCTCAGTGAGGTCAGGATTTCTTTCCTCCTGCAGGCTCGTTTTCATCCAGCTCAATCCCTGAACCACTGAGAACACCCTTGGCTGCCTCCTAGAGCGCCCTCCTCACTCGTCAGTGGCATCTAGAAATGGCCTGCGTGGCCCTAAAAGGCTTAAGATTCTGAGGCGGCACCCAAGTGCCTGCTTGCCAGTCTCCCCTGGTCCTCTGACCTGAGCCATAGTTTCACCTGTTGCTAGTCTGTTCCAATCATCCTGGGCACCTTGGCCATGGGCCTGCTCTGACCCTCTTGATCAGAAGTCTCTGATATAGACACCCAAGTGTAACCCACCTCTCGCCGTAGGCCCCATAGCAGTGGTCCTGTTTGTATCTAATTAGGTGCTTCTCTCCCCAGTACTTCCCCACACACACCTCTCATATCCCCTGAATCCCCCATCTCCACCCCGCTGTGGGAGTTCTCCATATTCCAAGTGGCAGACTTCTGGTTCTGACAGACTGCCCTGTGATCACACTATAGGGTGAAACGTTCCTCCACTAGCCTAGTGTCTTTCTTCTCATGGTTCCCCCTCCTCTATGACCCTGGACAGAAAATTATGTTTCCATTGACCCCTCTATTCACAGAGCTAATTGTTTCCGCACAGCCCTCCAAGTTCTAAGAACAGGAAAGAGGAGTGTAAAATGCAAAACTAAATTGACTCCTGACAGTGATCATGGAAGGGGCTTGCTACAAGTCAGCTTTGCTAAGGGGTATATGAACAGGAGCACGGTTCAGGGACGGGCTGTTGTTCCCTTTTGGAGACAGTCGCCATCACTGAGGTCTCTTGTTTCAGCGTATGTACGCAGCCGACAGGGGTGATTGAAGTATAGGGTAATTCTCCAGTCACGTGTAATCAATCACGTGTAATCATGGCCTTGCTCCACCAGGTAAGGAAGAGCCAGAGAGCTCCTTCCAGAAGAAACTGGTGGCAGGATTCCTTCCCCCACTTCTCCTCCCCTTGTCTTGCTCTAGCCTGGAAATAAATGGTCAGCCAGGCTAACAAGAGCCAGTCCCAGGTCCCCTCTTCTCCTTCTGGCTGGTCCTCATCCCCCTCAGAGGGGAAAGAGTAAACAGAAGCAGTGACAAGGGTTCATGAGACTTTGGAAGCCAGACCTGCTAAGCCGGTGTGGTCATCCCAGAGCCAGGTGACCCAGGCTGTGTTGCCTGCCCAAAGAGCAAAACAAACGGGGTCAATTTATTTGGCAAGACTTTCCAGTAACCTGTCCTATGGCAGGTACCCTGCTAGGCACTGGGCACACGAGGGAGAACCCAGCTAGACAATACATGGTTCCTGCCCTTCCAGTGGCACAGTCATTAAGAGCTCAGGCTGTTAACCAAAAGGTCAGCAGTTCAAGTCCATCAGCCACTCCTTGAAAACCCTATGGGGCAGTCCTGCTCTGTCCTGTAGGGTCACTATGAGTTGGAATCAACTCGACTGCAACAGGTTTGGTTTTTTATGGTTTGCCCTTCTGGTGCAAATGAGGGGACACAGAAGACTATACACCATATCAGGAGAGGAGCTCAAGCAAAGTTAAGGAGTTTCAAAGAGAGTGAATCCACCAGCTGGGTTACCAGGAAGGCTTCCCAGAGGATGGGCCATTTGAACTGAGCTTCGTAGTGGTGATTACAACAAGCAGAGCGGAGAAGGGAGGGAACAGCCTGAGCAAAGGCATTGGGCCCCAGTGGGAGGTGGGGAGTGAGAGATCGGCTAGAAGACAGGGCTGTGAACAAGCAGCCATCGCCTCTGCTCCCTGGATCCAGGTTTACATCTGGAAGGACCGTAGCCATCACTCTTCCACCTGGAGGGCAGGGTTGTGTGCAGGGTCACACAGCAGGTCAGTGGCCTCTTGAGAACCAGAACCCTTCCGTTAGGGAGATGCCACATAGTGAGTCCACAGCCTTCTCTCCACTCATCATCTCTCCCTCCCGCACAGTGCCAGCAGCCTTGACCCTGGACCCCGGCACTGCCCACCAGCGCTTGATCCTGTCCGATGACTGCACCATTGTGGCCTATGGCAACCTGCACCCACAGCCACTGCAGGACTCACCGAAGCGCTTTGACGTTGAGGTGTCCGTGCTGGGATCTGAGGCCTTCAGCAGTGGCATCCACTACTGGGAGGTGGTGGTGGCGGAGAAGACCCAGTGGGTGATCGGGCTGGCCCATGAGGCTGCAAGTCGCAAGGGCAGCATCCAGATCCAGCCTAGCCGTGGCTTCTACTGCATCGTCATGCACGATGGCAACCAGTACAGCGCCTGCACGGAGCCGTGGACGCGGCTCAACGTCCGTGACAAGCTTGACAAGGTGGGTGTCTTCCTGGACTACGACCAAGGCCTGCTCATCTTCTACAATGCTGATGACATGTCTTGGCTCTACACCTTCCGTGAGAAGTTCCCGGGCAAGCTCTGCTCCTACTTCAGTCCCGGCCAGAGCCATGCTAACGGCAAGAACGTGCAGCCACTGCGAATCAACACCATCCGCATCTAGTGTGGACTGAGCAAGACCACAGCCTCCTGGGGCCACGGCCACCAGTAAGAACCCTGCCCAGGAGATGGAAGGCCTAGATTCTAGCCTAGCTTGACCACCCTGAGACCTCAGGCCAGTTTACCTTTCAGTCTCCATTTGCCTGTCTGTAAAGTGAAGGTTGCACTCCATGATTCCTAAGCTGTCTTCCAGCACTGATGTTCTGTAACTCTGACCTTGATGGGAACATGGCTTTATCCAAGGATGTGACCTCTTTCTCTTCTGGACAACCCCTGCCCAACCCTCATCCCCATTGTCTCAGGGGCAGGGAGATGCTTCCCTACGTCTCCCTCCTGACCAGATGCCCTGGACTCAGGATATGTCAGGGTGTTGCTGGCAGATGGAAGCTCAAAAAAGACACAGAACCCTCATATGCTCCATGGCCTAAGACTTGCTGGTGATGGACCTGACCAAGCTGGTGATGGGCCATTTGACCCTTGACCCCAGCCCACAGTAGCTGGTTGTAGGGCTTTCTGAGAACCACCCTCCTGTCATCCCCATACCACGAGCTACATATTTCCTACTTTTCCCACTGACCTGCAGGTCAGAGATGATGCTATGAGCAGGTGCCAACCTGAGAAGGCAGCCAGTAGTTGGGCACACATGTGACAGTCACTGTGCTACCACCTTCCTGCCCACAGGCCTAAGGACAGGTTGAGGGCACATCCTGAGGCAGACACATAGTCATTTGCCCAAGGGCACTTGCAGGACAAGCATCACTGGATGGTCGAGGTCCCTCTCAACAAGGGTGCAGCCAGCCCTCACCAGCCGGGACCCTGTGACCAGGCTAGGGTGTGGGGAGGCTTCTGGGAGCAGCTATTTTAGTCAAGACCTGAGTACTGGGAAGGGCTGTTGGCTGGGACCCCGCCTCAGACTTGACATATGTTTCAGCTAGAATTCTGTTGCCGACAACAGGAGCCCCTTTAGCTAGTTTAGACAGACAAAGGATTTATTACCAGGTCCCTGGAGGAGCAGGCTTTTTGGTGAATTTCCAGGAATGACTCTCAGCCCCCAGACTCATAAAGTCTCTATTGTAACCAGGAAAGCTACTCCCATCTGCAAGAAGCCACTGCATCAGGAAGCCGCTAGCTGTAGAACTGTGCTTCCTCTGCTACCATCCATGCCAGCAAATGGATGTCCTGAGGCCTGCCTCTCTCCTGCTGAACTCAGTTCCCAAATCCAAATCTCTGCAGGGATTCTGTTTAGGGAACCTAAGTCAGATCCCTAAGCAACGGAGTCTGGGAAATGTAGTTTTTATCTTTCTAGAATCAGCAGTACAAAAGGCAAACTAAAAGAGGTTAGAATGGATGTTGAGCAAGCTCATTCTTGGTTTTTGCTACAGCATCCAAGCATGAAGAACCCAGGAGAGACTGGAGTTCACCTCTAGGCTTTCACTTTGGGGCAACAGAGCCTCAAGGTGTCCTGATCTGTGACTCTGTCCCTGACCATGGTCAGGAACCTGAGGAATGAGCCTACAGAACCAAGCCGAAATGTCTCCTCAGCTTTGGCCTTTCTTTCTAGTCCTGGAACCTAGATTCTGTACTTGGGGTCTCTGACCACATCAGTTCCAAGGGAATAGCTGACCCTGGGGAGCTCCCACCTCACAACTGCTGTCCACTGGAGCCTCCCCTGGGTGGGAGGAATCCTCACACCACCCCTTCAGTAACCCCAGATCTCTGGGCCACTCCCAACAGTATTTTTATTTAAAATATTACCAATTTTGTGAGTTATAATGAATTTGTATTAAATTAAAGTTATAGGATGTCAGTGGTCAGTTCCATTCATTTTGACAAACACAGAGGTCCACCTATTTTGTCCCAGGCAGTGTACATACATGAGCATGGCTAATCCACAAAGTAACCCTACCAGGTAGATGGTATTGTGCCCATTTTACAGAGGTGAGAAATGAGGTTCAGAGAGAGGACATAACTTGTTTACAGTTCTGGATCCCACACTGGTAAGTGATGGAGTTTGGATTAGAAATGAGTTCTAAGCTAGCACTCACATCACAACCCTGCCTGACACTTACTAGCCAGCGAAGATGTCCATCTTTGCCTGGGGGAGGGTGGTGATAGTTTTGGGAGCAGCAGTGGCATGAGGCAGTTGCAAGAACCTGGGCTCTGGAACCACACAGACCTGGGCTCGAATCCAGGCTCCACCACTGTGTGGGTTTAGAAGTAAGACTTGCCCTTTCTAGGTATCAGTTTTCCCATCTTCAAAATGAGGATAATAACACCAACCTCATATGATTTGTTGGTAAGCTGTAAAGTGCACTGCACTTAGAGGGGCACTGCCTCTCCCTCCAGCTGCCTCCCTGAATCATGCCTGGAGCTGTGTGGGTTTTCTGAACCTCCGGGCTGGCTCTGACCCTAAGAAGCTTATCTTGTGTCCTGTGGGGGGAATAGGACCACCTAGGCCAGGAGACCTGTCACAGTGGTTGATCCACAACTGATCATGGGGATGGTGCAGCAGCGGACAGCACTTCATTCCATTGTGCAGGGGTTGCCATGAGTTGAGGGCCTACTCAATGGCAGCCAACAAGGGGGTGCAGTGTTGGTTCAGTGATAGAGTTCTCGCTTGCCATGCGGGAGACCTGGGTTTGATTCCCAACCAGTGTACCACCCATCTGTCAGTGGAGGCTTGCATGTTGCTATGATGCCATTGGTGTCCCTGCAGTGCAGTGCAGCATCCATGGAAATAGGAGTCCTGGGCCTATCTTGGCTCTTCCCTGACTCACTTTGTACCTGAAGGTCCATTCCTCAGTTTCTTCACCTGCAGAGTGAGGGAGGTTAGAATCAATGTTCTCAGCAGCACCACGTGGGTCTTCACCTATGGCCTGGAGGTGGGGAGAAAAAAGAGGAACAACCCCAGGCATTGACTTGTCTGGGGTTCAAGGAAGAGGGGCTTGAGCAAGGATGGGGCAGGAGGGAACTCTGATTGGCTGATGGAGAGCACCCCAGGTTACAGAGAAGTAATGGCAGTGATTCTGAGACTAGAGTATCTCTAAGCTCCTCCTGTGCTCTCAGATCCCTGCATCCCCCTTCCCCTGCAAAGCCATGCCCCTCCATCTCAGAAATGTAGTTTTTAACTTTCCAGTCTCAGCAGTACAAAAAACACACTAGAAGAAAGTTAGAAAGGATGTTGAGTAAGCTCAGTGGATTCTGTCTTCTCCTTGTAGGGCGTGAGCCCCCAAGTCCTTCCTTCCCTCTCCCTCCTCCACCTCAGCACCAGGCCCAAGAAGTGATGGCTGAGGGTAGGGGCATAACTTGCATACCCGTCTGGAGCCTCTGGGAAATCAGGATTCCTCCGAGAGGTGTATTTGCATAAGTGTCCAGAGAATCCCTGAATGAAAGAATCTGGGGTTGGCAGGCTTTGATGCCCGGAACCCCACATTTAACACAGCAAACAGTAGAGACAAAGGCAGCCCAGCCTGGGGAGGAGAGAAGGGTCAGCAGGGATCTTACCCAGCCTGGAAAGAACTGATAGAAAGACAATAACCCCGTGCAGGATCCTTGTCTGTGGTCAGTAAGAGAAGTGCTAGCACTTTTTACACCTCATCTAATCATCAAGATGAGCCCATGAGGCTGGTATCATTCTCTCAGTGCTGGAGTGGGGAAAACATTGCTTCCTAGAGGACCCACAAGTACTCAGCTGGGCTGGGAACCAGCCTTCTCAGCACCTAACAAGGCCATTAGTTCCTGGTGCTTCTCTCTGGGGTGGCAGCGGGAACAAAAAGCAACAGAGATAAGGGCTCCCAGCAGCACAGAGCTCAACACAGATGCTGGAGAGGCCATCTCGGGAGGCTGACTGCTCACACGTGGACAGCAGTCCCACTTCCTCCCTTTCCACCTCCCCAACCCCATCCCACCCCCACCGCCCTTCACCTCTGCAAGTGAACCACCCCAAGTGAAAGTGAACCACTAAGAGGTCAGATGCTGAGATGTCAGGGGCTTTACATGGGGTAGGGGTGGGTTATTCTCCTTACTCTGGGACGCTGATGATTCTACCCAGTCTCCTCTGAGGAATCCTAAACCACTTAAGGAAAGAGGGGATGTGGGAGGTAGGGCAGGAACAGACAAACAGACATGGTCAAATACAGTCAGGAGGCACAGCCTCAAAAAAATAGCAGGGTAGGGGGAAGATTTTTATTTTGAAATGTGCTCATTTTTCTTCATTTTCCTTTTCTGGCTTCAGAATTATTTGAGGTGTTTTTTAAAACCCTAGATACAGAGTAGATCAAACAGTCTTTTATCTGCTTTCAAGATTTTGACAATTCTATCATATTTCTTTTTTTTTTTTTAATTTTTTAAATTGTATTTTAGATGAAGGTTTACCAAGCAAACTAGCTTCTCATTAAACAATTAATACACATATTGTTTTGTGACATTGGTTGCCAATCCCATGACATGTCAACCCTCTCCCCTTCTTGACCTTGGGTTCTCTATTATCAGCTTTCCTGTCCCCTCCTGCCTTCTTGTCCTTGCCCCTGGGCTGGTGTGCCCGTTTAGTCTCATTTTGTTTTATGGGCCCATCTAATCTTTGGCTGAGGAGTAAACCTCAGTGACTTCATTACTGAGCTATAAGGGTCTCTGGGCACCATACTCTCGGAGTTTCTCCAGCCACTGTCAGACTAGTAAGTCTGGTCTCTTTTTTTTTTTTTTTTTTTGCGAGTTAGAATTTTGTTCTACATTTTTTTCCAGTTCTGTCCAGGACCCTCTGTTATGATCCCTGTCAGAGTAGTCAGTGGGGATAACCAGGCACCATCTAGTGCTGGACTCAGTCTGGTGGAGGTTGTGGTAGCTGTGGTCCATTAGTTCTTTGGACTAATCTTTCCCTTGTGTCTTTGGTTTTCTTCATTTTCCCTTGCTCCTGATGGGGTGAGACCAGTGGAGTATCTTAGATGGCAGCTCACAAGCTTTTAAGACTCCAGGTACTACTCACCAAAGGAGAATGAGTTCTATCATATTTCTGACCATTACAAAATGCCCCCTACCTCACCTCAGGAATTTGATGAAGTGAGAGAGGGTCAACACTTCAGACCAGAGGCTCGAGCGCTTCCCACCCTAGTGTCATGTGGGAGGGGGTCTTCTCAGGAGGCTG